AGAGTACGATGAAACACAAATATAAACACTTACCAGGAAACCACATTATATGCTTTTTATTTGTGCCATTTGAATAGCTCAAGCCTAGTGCCTCTTGACATTCACGGGCCCTGGTTCTGAAGCGAAGTGTCGTCATCCTTTCCCACACACCAGCCGGCACACAAGTGCAGCATGCGGGCATCCGCGCCCAGAACAAGCAAGGCTCCGTTCTGTGAGGTCTGAGGCAAGTGGAGTGTGCCCCTCAAGCTTGCTAAACATCTGGAAAAACATAGACTTTTTTCTCTAAGTTCACTGTTGAGATGAGGCCCAACGCTTTTATTTAAATTCTATAATTAGAGTGGGCAAGAATGTGTTTTTAATCTTCTGAATCAAATTTTCTTTTGTTTTATAGGCACAAAAAGACAATTCCCAGAAAATCTGCATTACTCATGTGGAAAAACTCTTTTATGAGACTCTTGCGGGGAGTAGGGGGTATGTGTGTATGAGGGGAGTGTGATGAGAATTTTCATTTAAAAGAGATAAAATAGTTCAATTTTAAAAGAAGGACCTAAACATGAATAAAAATCTCTTCCCTAATGCCTTTTCCACAGTATTAGGTCCCATTCAAGCAAATGAAATGTTGGCATTGTTTTTTTGGCAATGCAAAAACTGGTGCAGAATGCAGCTTTCTTCCTCATGTCATTTTCCATACCCAAAGCACTGTTCCAATGGGTAGCCAAGCATTTCTTCCATTAATATGGAATTTAATGTTGTCAAATTATTTTTTATCAAGAAAATATCTTACCTTTGTGGCCTTCCAGCATTTCATACCCGAGCCCACTGGAGGGTAGGCAGGAAAATTGAACAGTTACTTCCTGAGGTTCTACAGGCAGAGAGAGTGTTTAATTGTGTGGTACAGGAAGTGTCGTGGTTGGTCCTCCCCTTTCTATCCAGAGAGAAACGGTTTGTGAAAACACAGGTGAATAACACAGATGGTAAAGGGTCTGAGAAATAGGCCCCTTCAGATCAATAAGGCCCCGGGGCCCCTTTGCCACCAGTCCATCTCTTTCTCCCCTGCGCTGCACACCAACAGAGGAAACACTGCTGAGTTCAACCAAAAAGTCCAGTGACAGCTTCTCCCAGGGCAGAAGGGCTGCTTGCCCTACATTTTCATATCAAAAAAAGATAGCTTCACAAAAGATGTGCTCCAGATACAAAACAATACAGCCACTGTGGAAAGCAGTATGGAGGGTTCTCAAAAAATTAACAATAGAACGACCACATGATCTTGCAATTCCACTTCTGTATGTACCCAAAAGAATTGAAAGCAGGGCCTTGAAGAGATAGTTGTACAACAATGTTCCTAGCAGCATTATTCACAATAGCAGAAAGGTAGAAACAACTCAAGTGTCCATCCACGGATGGATGGGTAAACAAATCGTGGTACATACGTACAACGGAATGTTATTCAGCCTTGAAAAGGAAAGAAATTCTGACACACGCTACAACATAGATGAACCTTGAAACATTATGCGAAGTGAAATAACCTAGACACAAAAGGACAAATATTGTGTGATTCCATTTGTATGAGGTACCTGGTGTATTGAAATTCACAGGGACAAAAAGTAGAATGGTGGCTGCCAAGGGCTGGAAGGAGGGGGGAAGGGGGAGTTATTGTTTAATGGGGAGAGTTTAGTTTGGCTTGATGAAAAAGTTCTGGAAATAGATGGTAGTGATGGTTGCACAACACTGTGAATGTACTTAATGCCACTAAACTGTACACTTAAAAACAACTAAAATGGTAACTTTCATGTTGTGTATATTTCACCATAGCAAAAGCAGATATATGCTCGAAGGTGACCCGTGTTCCTGCCCATACAGAGAAACTGCAGCAGATTTACCTCAAAATAAATTTTTTTAATTATAAATTGGTGTCTGTAAGGCCCCCATTGAGAGATGCCATTTCCTGTGACCATGCTTGAGTTATTTGTAAAGTGAACCATGTAGAGTTTACATTCTAATCTGTAGTGTGATTTTAATTATTCTCAACTAGTTCTATTGTTGTCCACATGAAATCGCAGGCGAAAGCCCTCCTAGTTTGATAAGGGGAAGAGACTGGGACCAGGTCAGCCCTCCTGACTGTCTCAGTCAAGACTCTGGACCCAGGCGTGACAGGCCAGAGTTGCACCTGTTAGAGAAGGGTGCCCTAGACCCATTTACTTCTATCTGTGAGTACTGCACATTTCAACAGTAATTAGCCAAAAGGAAAACTACTAGACATTGACACTGGACAAAAAAGTGTTAAAACAAGATAATAGCAAGAAACCTCATGTAGTCTTATTTTGTAAGTTCAATTTTGAAAGTAGTTCCATCACAGATATTAGCAAGATTTAGAAAAATTATTCTTGTGTCTGGGTTCACTGGCACCAAAGACAATAGCCATATGCATACATGCACGGTTAAATAGATGCAAGGAAAAGATGTGATTGTCTCATTTCTCTATGGTCTGTTTATACAGCTATGCAAGCACCAGGATCCAAGAAATAATTGTCCCTCTGCTCCAAATACTATCTTAATGAGCCATGGCAAATTTGAGAACCAAATCTTTCAGTTGTGTCCAATTCAGCTGCCTGTTTACAGACACACTTTGTCAGTTTCCTAAAACAAACTTTCCTGCTATATGAAGTCATTATCCTTAACACAGGAAGAAACTACTGGTTATTTATGGTTTGGAACCCTCTATTCATAACATAATTGCATGAAAATGCTTTCTAGTAGGTGGGGAAGAAAATCCATCAATTAGAACAAAATGCTTGTCAGCTCTTATCAACAGTTTATCAACGTAATCCAGTAATTCATTGACAGATTCAATTCTGAAATTTTATTTTCCATTTGTATCTTTTCTTTTCTTTTTTACTTTTCCATATCCTGATTTCTTTTAGGCCTAATTAAATTTCTTTCTTGTCCTTAGACTATGACGATGTCTTAGGTGAACCACTGAATCAACTTCTTTGCTTTCATGCATATTTTGATCTAATTAAAACTGATTGTCACTAACTAAGCAGACTAGACAGTGACTCAAGTCAGTCTGGAAACTAGCCCTGCCACGGTCACCTGTTTGGGTTCCATAGGTCCAGGCTCAAACAGCTTAGTATGGTCATTTGATTTGCTGATGCTAAAACTAGAAAACTATTCTGAGTAGCTGAAGTCAGGGTTTGTTCTGTTCTGTTTTATTTCGTTTTTCTCATGTCTCCCTTATGAAAGATTCCTCCCCAGTCCGAAGACTGAATCCACTTAGACAGTAAATGTCTAGACCATCAATACAGCCAGCCTTGGGCCCCCGTCATGAATTTTCCTGAAGTGTGGGTGTCACCCTGTCAAATCTGAGTTCCTCAAACAATTATTACCTACAAACAGAATGTGTTACCGGAACTGATATCAATGGTTTAAAATCCCGTCAGTGGAACCATCCCTTGACACCACGTTCTGGTTTGCTGTCTATGTTCTCTTAAGCTTTTCAGTTTGTCACTTGGTCAAGAATCTCGTGGCGAGTATTTGGGCTATAAAGTGCAGCAGCGTTTCAAAATGACTTCACACACCTGATTATTTTACATCAATAGATGTGCATTGAGCACTTTGGGGCACCAGGCACTGTACCAGGTTCTGGGGATTTATGGTGACCAAAACTAGATGTGGTCATGTCCTTGTGGTGCTTACAGACCCATAGGAGAGACATTGCCTTCATGGGGGGGCAAAAGACTTGTTTAGGAATTGACTCTTTGGGAGGCAATACACAAAACCTTTTCTTTGTTAACAATTTTCTTAAAGTGTAGAAGATATATAGTTTCTTTGATCTATGATCCTGTCTAATTAAAATATCTAAATGAGTGCTGAAGAAATGACAGCTGAACTCTTCAGGTTGTATTTTCACCTCAAGACTCAACAACCCCTCATTCCTTTCACTTCAGATACTCCAGTCGCTCATCCTTGGGTCGATGTTTCTCATCAGAGGAATCGGCATTTTTGGTCCATAACTCAGAATATCAAAACCTCCCCTGAATAAGACTTATGGGTAGATGTATATAGCAATATGTATGTATGTATCTAGATACTTTAAGCTATAATAGGGACACCACACCCCTCATCCTCAGGTTGGCCCAACATGTAGGGGCTGAGCCTGGCCCCCTGCCCAAACTCCTACAGGCCAATGACTCGGTGCTCCTATGGGTCCTCCTGGGCAGCCTACCCCTGATAGCTGCTTTTATATCACCTTGAATAAACTGGATGGAGTAAAATATTGCTAGGATGTTGTGGCAGCAGTGTCTATAAAATGAATCCGAGAGAAACTTGGAAAGAAGGAGAGATGAAGGGAAGGAGGGGAGAAGGAAAGAAGGAAAGAAGGACAGAAGAGAGTCACACAGTGGCTGAAGCCAAAGAGAGAAGCTAGGCAAGAATAAGTAGAGCAGAAGGTCAAAAAGTGTGACTGCAGGAGGGCTGCAGAATCCCTGCTGCCAGAAGATAGTAAAAGCTTTATCCTTCTCCACATCTGATCCTGCTGAAGTCCACTACCACAGAGTCATTGTCAGTGTTTTCCCAACAGTTTCCCACTGGATGTTAAGTCAATCATTCCTCATACGTCTATTAAACACCTTCTAGGTCTCAAGTGTGGTGCTAAACACTTTACCTGCATTCACCCACTTGATCCTCACAACAGCCCCATGGGGTAGACAGGGACCATGTAGCCCCACGCTTGACACAAAGGAATACTCAACAAGTATTTGCTGAACCAGCAGTTTCAATAAAATATTAAACAGACTGTGATGGAGCACACAGAGGGCTCATGGAAGCTGATTCCAGGGGAGATCAGAGCACTCTTTGAGGGCACCAACTCTCTCTCCACCCTCTTCCCGCTGTCTAGCATAGACGGCAGCTGCCAGTGCTTGTTGAGTGAATGAACAAATGTATGAATAAATTCAAACTAAAAAAAAAGCTTCCTGTAGACAAATCAGATTGTTCCAAGCTTTATTTAGGATTTTATAATTACAAAATTCTTTCCTACAGCAGCCTTCATGGCTGAACCTCAATAAAACATTACAAGCTCTTTCTTTTTAAAAACAAATTTGTATTTAATCTGTTAAACAGAATCAGCTTTCAGTAGATTTTTCTCATCTGCTCCCCTGCTGCTATATATCCTGTATCCACAAACAACGAATGAAAAGGGAAAAAATTCAGTTTAAAGTATATTCTTTGCATAAAAGAAAAAAGTAAAGAAGAAGTCTTGGTGTTTTTTGCCCAGCTCATTTTTGGGAGAGTTGATTTTTTTTTTTTTTTTTTTTGCATTTATATAAACACAGCCTTATGTTTCTCTATAGTTTTTATCCGCCTCCAATCAGAAGTATCACAGAGTTCTTTAGCAATTACACAGAAAAGAAATTGTATCATTATATAATGCCACAGATTGTGACAATTCAAAGTTAAATAGCAGCTTAACATACCGAAAAGTATAACAGGAAGGAAAAAGCATTAACATGTTAGCTCATCTCGCTTATTATAGACACCAGGGCTTCAATGTTCCCATCTATAGCAACAGCAGGAGCGCTCATCAGCCAAGACGAGGGGCACACTGAGCACACTGGAGCCTGAAAAGTTCCACTGCTTGCGGGCAAACTGAAGTCTCATTTTCTTTATAGCTGACTCGGTTCAGCATGGACTTGACCTTCTCCCCAAATGTCCTCAGAGGTCATCAGAGCCTGTTAATTTTCTTCTAGTATTACATTAATGAATCAGAGGCCGGCAAGTAGTCAAGTTTCCAAAACTCGTTATGAAACTATTTGCTGCCAATGGTAATGGTGCAGGCCCCGCTCGCTGCTCACTTGGTTCCTGGCATTGGAAAGCAGGGAAATGTGCTCATCGGAGTGGAATTTTTGATTTCCATACATGGCTGATTTGTGGGGAGGGAGCGAGAATCCTTTCTATTACAGGCTTATATTCTTCAAAATACGTCTAATGCGTTTTACAGACTCTTTTCACCCTTTACAGTTTGAAGCTCCTTAATTTGTTAGCTGATTTCTGTCAACTTCTAGCACATTCTAGAGATTTTCGTCTCTTCTCTGGCACTGGATGCACCTTGCTGGATGAAATAGTTGGATAGGCAACACCTGGAGAGAAGGGGACCAACATTTCTGAACACCTCCAATAGGCCAGATTTGCGGCCACATGCTCTCCATACACTAACCATGAAGCAGGTACCACTGCCCCACTGTAGGGGGGAAACGCCTGAGACTTCAAGAGAGTAAGTCAACATCTCACAGACTATGGTCCATGTGGTTCATGGATCAGAATCACCTGGAAACATGTAAAATGCAGATCCCTGGGCCCCACCATAAAACTACTTTTATATCTGGGGAGGGGCCTTGGAATCTGGATTTTGACAAGTCCAAGTGTTCTCACATACTGGGGTTTTACTGGATGAGTAATTTGCCTGAGATGATCCTGTGAGAAGGGATCGGGACAGGATTCCCACTGAGGTCTGTGGACCCAAGGTCTATATCTTTGCTGTTTCTGAGCTCCCTTTTAGCTCTAACATTCTAATATTTTATCAATATAGCCAACTTAAGATATAGTAATAATAATGATAGCTTTTTTATTGAGTGCTTACTATCTGCCAGGCTTAAGTTAAATACTTAACACACATTATCTCAGTAATCTTCACAATACTTTGTTGGGGTCAGTATTACAATAATTGCTATCATTATTACCACTTTAGGCATGTGGGAACTGAGGCTTGGAGAAATTATTTTAACCCATATCTGTCTGTAACAAGGGAGGTACCGAGAATTGGCTTCAGCTAGCTACTTGATCTAGTCAAAACAAGGTGGTTTCTATGCAAATGAAGCTTTAGCACAAATCCCTTGTCCTCTTTCCCAGACAGCCAGCCACTCCTAAACCCATCTAGTATGGAAATTCTGGAACCTTCACTGCTCTTACTGGAAAGCCTATGCCCTTAACCATTATGTTGTACTGCTGTCGACAGACCTTGGACAATCATGTCTTTTCAGCATAATTCAGTTCAATTTATTTCATTGCAGTGCAATTCTACCGAATGCTTATGGAGCACCCGAGATGTAATAGGCAGGGGCTGAGCCCTGTAGAAGATGAGAAGGTAAATCAGACAGAACTTAGTGCTCCTGAACCTCACTGCCTAGCGAGATAAGGAGATACAGATAACAAGTGTTGTAAACAAGATTACAAAGCACAATAAAAGAACAAAGAGGGAATGGCTAATTTTACTGCTCAAGGCCCTGCATCTGTCTTCCCCCACTATCATTCTCCCCTGCTATCTGGAAGGATGGACCAAAGACCAGCTGCAATAAAAGGCAAGTGATGGTGCTAAATGTGGTGGAAAGAGGATCAGACACTGAGAATGGCATTGAGAAGGGTTTAGGGGAGAAGCTGCTCCATGGAGCTCTTCTCACCTCTGGGGGGTAAATTCTCTGATCCCTTTTCCAGAGGATCATGACTCTCTTTTGAGAAAAAGTGCTCCATGTGGTGCCATTTCTCTATTTTCATCAAGAATCATAATTATTACATATATTTGAAGCTTAAATTATTGCCCATGCAACAAAAAAATGCCTAAAAGTCTACACTATCCATATTTGCAAAATATAAACAAATAACATATATTTAAATTTTAAAAATATAATGCCTCATTATGAGCACCAGTAGATATTACCTAAAGTTTACTACATCAGAGAAATAATTTCTAAATGTTGCTGTGTAACCCATTCTGCTACCATAAAGAAAAAATGCCTCTCTCCTTAGTCCTAGCTCATTGTGAATAGCCCATCTGGTAAACCACTAATTGTTGTTGTCAGCATTTCTTAAGACCATTTCTTTCTGTTGTGCCTTCCTCCAAGGGCTTCTGGTAGGAAATACAACCCAGAGAGATAGCCGGAACATCTATAAATGCCTCCTAGAACATACTGATTTATATGTGGCCCACTATCTCAAAATTGTTACCCTAAATACTACTTTGTTGTTACTCGTGCTGGTTGAAGACTGAGCATTATTAATTAATATTCTCCGAGAGTTAAACGTACTAATGAGAGTTATGACTTCCAATTTCCAGTTGAGCATGTAAGGAGCTTGCAAATCATCATTCCATGCTAACAAGTAAAAAGCTGAACAAACTAAAAATCAACAACTCTTCTTAGATTGGTCAGAAAATTGAGGTCAGAAGACAAAATATTGCCCCCCAAAATTGGGGAGAGACAGGTGGATACAGAGAATGGCAACTAACAGGAGCAGAAACCCACTAGTAGAAATCTCTGTGGGAACCTGTACCAGGGTAGGAAACCTGAACCGTAACTGACAAATTACAGGAGGCTCAGAGTAGACAACTCTGAGAGATAACAACTCCAAGGAGGGCTCAGATTTAGGGAGACGTGTCCACACTCTTGGGGGTTTTACGTCTAGGAGCTCTACCAGGTTTTTTCACAGTGGATATTGGAGAAAAATCCCCTAAAGTTTCCCAGGGGAAAGGGAAAAAGTAACCATTTTGAAATATGCCAGAACATTCTCTTCTTAACAAAGCCTGCCCTCAACAGAAACTACTTTATCAGAGCCTAACCTATTAGGGTTTTATCAGAGCCTAACTGACTTGAAGGATGGGAAATGTTCAACTTCAACACCCTCTAGCCATTCCGTCCCACCTAAGGTAAGGCGCAGGGGACTGAGAAGCACTCCTGAAGTTCATAGTCCGGATGCACAGGCTCACTAAAATTCTGAGAACTAATCATAGGACTATAGAACACTTCCCCTCCCCACGCCTCACCACCACGTTACTAAAGGCATATTCACAGAACTTCCTTTTGCCCAGTACAGCACCTCTGGCTTTCAACAAAAAATTACGAGCCATACTGAAAAACAGGCAAGGTTAAAGGGATAGGGCAAGCATCAGAACCAGACTCAGATATGGCAGAAATCTTGGAATCATCAGACCAGGAATTTAAAACAAGTACTATTAATATGCTAAAGACTTTAATGGAAAAGGTAGACAACATCCAAGAACAGATGGGTAATGTAAGCATAGAGACAGAAATTCTAGGAAAAAAATGCTAGAGATGAAACACTGTAATAGAAATGAAGGACACCTGTGATGGGCTCATTAGTAGATGGACACAGCTGAAGAAAGAATCTCTGAGCTTGAAGATATGTCAATAGAAACTTCCAAAACTGAAAAGAAGAAAGACTGAACATAAAGGAACAGAATATTCAAGAACCGTGAGATAATTACAAAAGGTATAGCATATACGGAATTGCACTTCCTGAAGGAAATGAAAGAGAGAGAGGAACAGAAGGAATATTTGAAGCAATGACAATTGAGAATTTTGCCAAATTAATGTCAGACACCAAACCACAGATCCAGGAAGTTGAGAGAGCACCACCAAACGGGAGTAATGCCCAAAAACTACACTTAGACGTGCCATTTTCAGACTGAGAAAAAGAAAAAAGATAAAGAAAAAGTCTTTAAAGATGCCAGAGGTAAAAAACATCTTACCTATACAGCAGCTAAGATAAGAATTACATCTGACTTCTCCTCAGAAATCATGCAAAAAAGAAGAGAATGCAGTGAAATATTCAAAGTGTTGAGATAAAAAAAAAATCCCACTAACCTAGAATTCTGTATCCTGTGAAATTACCCTTCAAAAATGAAGAGGAAATAAAGACTTTCTCCGACAAACAAAAAATTGAGGAAATTTGTTACCAACAGACCTGCCTTACAAGAAATCTTCAAAGAAGTTCTTCAGAAAGAAGGAAAATTATATAGGTCGTAAACTCAAATCTACACAAAGAAAGGAAGACCATTAGAGAAGAAATAAGTGAAAGCGAAATAAAAACTTTTATTTTTCTTATTAATCAATTTAACAAATAACAGTTTGTTCAAAATAATAATAGTTCACGATATATTCAACGATTATAACCTCTATGCAAGTGAAGTGAATGGCAGCAATGACCCAGGGATGGGAGGGAGGAGTAGGAATGCTTTGTTATTCTAAGGTACTTGCATTACCCTTGAAGCAGTGTAGTGTTATTTGAAAGTGGACTTGGATTAGTTGTAAATGTTTATTGAAAACTCTAGGGAAACCATTAAAAAAAATACAAAAAGAAGTATAATTAATACACTAAGAAAAAAGCAAATGAAATCATATAAAATGCTCAACTAAAACCACAAAAGGCATAAAAAGAGTGGAAAACAAAAATAGAAACAAAGAACAAGGGCAACAAATAGAAAATAGTAACGAATGTTGTAGATGTTATTCCAACTATATCAACAATCACTTTAAACATCAGTGGTCTAAGTACACTAATTAAAACACAGAGGGTGTCAAAGCAGATTGAAAAACAAGACCAAGCTATATGTTGTCTAAAGGAAATTCTCTTAAATATAAAAGCACATATAAATTAAAAGTAAATGATGAAGAGAAAAATAGCATGAAAACACTACCCAAAAGAAAGCTAGAGTACCTGTATTAATGTCAGACAGAGCAGACTTCAGAGCAAGGAAAGTTATCAAGGTTAAAAGAGGGACATTGCATAATGATAAAGGGGTCAATACTCCAAGAAGACGCCAATCCTTAATGCGCGTGTGCCTAACAACACAGTGTCAAACTACATGAGGCAAAAACTGGTAGAACTGCAAGGAAAAACAGGTGAATCCACTATTATGGTTGAAGACTTCAACACCTCACTCTCAGAAATGCACAGCTCCAGCAGGCAGAAAATCAGTAAGGACATAGTTGGACTCAACAACATCATCAATCATCTGGATATAATTGACATTCATAGACTACTTCGCCCAACAACAGCAGAATACACATTCTTCTCAAGTTCACATGGAGTGTCCACAAAGATAGACACATTCTGGACCATAAAACACACCTTAACAAATTTAGAAGGATAGAAATCATACAATCTCTGCTTTCAGACCACAATGAAATTAAACCATAAATCAAAAACACAAAGATGGCTGGAAAATCCCAGAACACTTGAAGAAGACAAGCTACGGACTGGGAGAAAATATTTGTAAAAGATGTATCTGATAAAGGACTGTTATCCAAAATATACAAAGAACACTTAAAATTCAACAATAAGAAAA